GAGTATCATACTATATATTAATAATAATAATTAGATTTACCTGTATTAGAATACATTAATTGCATAATCGAAGATTCAACTTGTTAAACATCATGTTGTGATGGTAAAAATAAAAAAGGATAAATTCCTTATCATTGAACATTTTTAAAAAATGATATATTAATTGTAAATTGCGATGTTTGAATTAAGTGTTTACACAAAAAAAATCGATTAGTCAAAAATCTGGCATATCCACAAATCCACTTTTCGACATCAGTTACATAATTATTATTAATTTTCTTCTTATTCAACATAATCCACTCCTTTTTTAGATCCTTTCTCCAAGAAGGCATCTCACGTTTATAGTAATATTTATTATATTGCTGTACATGATGTGAAATTAAACGAGTAACAATAATATATGTTAATAAATCAAGTCGTGGTCTAAAAAATTTTGGTAAGAAATCTTGCTTAAGAACTTTCCAGTATGATTCACACAACATAGTAGTATGAAATATGCAAATTTTGCTATATACAGAATAGGCCCACAGATTCCAGATTTCTTTACAATACCAGTGTTCCTACAAATAAGTCCAAAGGAGTCTTAAATCATAATTGACACAGAATTCATAAATTTCTTTTGTTGATTGTTCCCAAATTTCACTTGCTGACAAATAAAACCCACTAGCATTTGGAATTGACAGATGAAGGTGCATATGAGTTTCTATCATGCTTATAATATTAGAATGCAACTCTTTAAGACAAAAGCAAAAGTTTTTTTTTTGTACTAAATTTAATTGTGATGGCGGTGTTGGATAAAATTCAATGCTGATAAATTTAAATGTTTGATATGCTAAAGACGAACTATAGTTAATTGTTTTGGGATATGTGTTGTTAGCAAGACGTTTATTAAGTGCTTTCTTTAGATGCCAAAAACAAAATTGAATTTTGACATTTGACCAAGTTCTTAGTGCAGCTGATACCTGCACAAAATCCTTATCTGTTAAAAAAAAACAGATATTATTTAATCCCAGATTAAATAAGGATTGAAAAAATAAAGTTAAGATATCTGTTCATGCACCATCATTTTTTTTAGACCCCTCGATAAACAAATATGCAAGTGCAAATCCAGAACCATTATAGTGACCAATGACTAAATATAATTCATATCCTAAAGTGTTTGTTTTATATGTAACATCTGTGACTATTTCTTTATTGTTTTTTAATAATTCAAAAAATGATGTTGTAAAACCCAAATATTGAATATTCTGATTGTTGCTTAAAATAACCTTACATTCGTTTTCTTCTATTAATATTTTTGTAGAACTTAATTGATTATCATCATGAATATACTCTTTTCTTAAAAAATAAGTCCACCATGTATGAACTTGTTTTTGTGTTAGATTTGGATTTTGCTGTTCTAATTGTTTGAAAATATCTGCGGGCATTTGATGAAGGTTTTTTTTTATTTCAGCTTTAATATCATCAGATGTGTTAAATCTATCCGGACGCTTATGAAGTAAGTTATGCTGAAGATCGATTGTTGCTACATTCATTTCCATATCTAGTAATATTTTTAGAACACCAGTACAATTAAATCGTTCAATATATTCTCTATCACGTTGCTTATCAAGATCTTTATGTTTTCGGGATGTTTGGCTAAAGTACAACTTTGGGAGCAATTATACCAAAATGTATACTAATGAGGATTTTTTTTCGATTTATAAACCATATGATAACTATAATATAATTATTAGTAAAAATAAATTATTTTGTTAATTCCAAATATAATTATACCACTTACATGTAATAATACCCGTTGACAGATCCTACTATTTCAGCAATTGTCTTTCCAAGTTCATGAGGCTCACTTTTTAAGGAAATAATAGATATTTTGCACAAAAACTCTATGCCAGAATTTTCATTTTCAACAAATTCATTATTTCCGACTTCAAGAATGGATTCAAATAATTTTTTTTTCATTTCATTGGGTTCAATAGGGTTCGAATTATAAAGTGAATTATCATTAGACTTCGTGGCATGGTAAGTTTTTAAAATTTTTTGTCGACATTCATTACATGTTTTCGTAGGTTTTTCAGTTTTACTAACAAAAGCAGCTTTATCGAAACATTTATCACACCGATCACATTTGAATAAGCCATTAAACATTGGAATCATTTTGTAAGAAAAGAATTTTTTTTTATTCTAACGATATTTTTATTTAAATACTAAAATACTAGTGATAAGTAGAGTGATCTAAATGTAACACTAAGTTAAATGTTTCAGTATGTAATAATCGATACGTAGTGATAACTCGAGTGATCTAAATGTAACACTAAGTTAAATGTTTCAGTATATAATAATCGATAGTATATAGTAAAATATATAAAATACTATTGGCTAAAATCTAGTATAAAAATCGTGATTGAGTATGTAAAATGCTATTGGTCGGTATGTAGTACAAAATGTTGTGTTACCGAAAATTTTTTATGGTGTTGTTGGGGTAGTTAAATTTTGACGGGAAAATTCTCAAATCAGGCTAAGTCACGTGACACGTGACACGTGACACGGCTAACCAAATAAGGGTGATCCGGCTAGAAAAGTCAGAATCGTCAGAAAGTACCGAAACATAGGAAAAGTCCTTTCTGATCAAAGGGCGAAGTAAGTGAGGTAGTCAGAAAGGGAGGGAATACTGATGTAGTCTTAAACGTTATAGTACACGCAGTCATAGACAAAGTCAATATAGAACGAGAAAATGTATGTAGTAAATTGCTCTTATAAATAAAGGCCAAAAAGGCCCTAGAGAGGGGGAGATCCAGAACATTGCTTTATTAAAATAATAACCGACCCCTTATATAATAAATACATAAACGTCTCCTTTGCTACATTAACTAATCTCCAAGTCCCCAGACCGTAAAAACCCGCTTCTTACAATTATCTGTTCTATCCCAAAGTAATGTTACCTTCCGTCCAGCTGTTGTATCCTACAGTACCAGGATCAGCCGTGGTTGTATCGTTCTTATCCCGAAGACTGAGGATAGTGAGGTTATACGTGTCGTTCAATTACCTGAAGTAGTGAGATAATTGAGGATAAAGTTAGTAGAAAGCTCAAGACAGAGAAAACCACAAGACAAGTAAAGAAGAAACATTTACCTACGGTCCTAAACCATCGACCAAATCTAAACGCCTCTTTTCGACTAAGCTAACCGTAGGTTACACGAGAATTTGGATTGTGGAGTGACTGACTCGCCATTAGACCGATTTCACTACCTAGCACACATTCAAGTAATGCAAAATTCTTTAAAACTCATTTCTATAAAGGCCAACATTCGTATTTAAGCTAGAATTAAGGAAATGGTGAATCGGTTAGGAAAATTTTTTATTGGGTAAATTTTTGACAAATTAAATGTTTGCTTTGAATCTTTTTTTTTTCCCGGTGTTATTACCATGGGATGCCGAGTAGGCGTACTTTATTATCAATATTGCTAATTATACATTATATAGGCCTACATTCTATATTTTGATGAATTTAAGTAAATTATTTTTTTTCCTTGTTATTATTGCGGCCATTTTGTAAACTATAAATAGCTTTTTTTAGGCGATTTTTGGTAATAAATGGGATAACAGGTTCTGGTACTGGAGAAAGACCCCACTTTGCTTGTGTATAGTATAACCATATTTCATAGACACCAAACACGTGTAACCATCTAACCGCGGGTCTCAGATCCTTTTCCATCCTGCTGTTAGGTTGAAATATTTCTTTAGAGGAGCTTGGAGGCGATATATTTTCCAAAGCAGGTATGCTTTGAATCTTTTTAATCATGTCATGCTATATATGCTTCTAAAAATTTATTTTCCTTCGGAGATCTATGCTACCATACAATCTATATATTTATTAAATGCAATACCGATACACCTCATGTATCACGTTCCTGGTTTTGCGTGACAACGTACGGAGCTATCTTATTTGATAGTCTGTAAATCTATTTAATATTAAATTTAAAACTATATAAATTGACCTAACGCTAAGATTACTTCGGAACGTTATAAAGAGATTCGATATTCGATATATTATAAAGAAGATTAACTGTACCGTGTTTTCTAATAGTAAGTTTTCTTTGGATTTCTATAATAATCTGCCGTAGTTATCTGCTAGCGTTATTATTATAGAAATCCAAAAGAAACTTATTATCAGAAAACATGGTATAGTTAATCTTCTTTATAATATATCGAATATCGAATCTTTGTAATAGTCCGATGTAATCTTAGCATTAGGTCAATTTATATTGGTCTGAATTTAATATTAAAGCGATTTACAGAATATCAAAAACGTAATTTTTGCACATTCTGCATGTAAATTTACCAAATTTTCTTCCCAATTGGATAAAATTGACAATCTTCAATAACGTGATCCATCTACAGCGAATCAGAGACAAGATCAGGCGTAATATCAAAATTGAAAAAAACAATCGCTTGTATTTAAAAAGACTCATTTATCTCAAAATTTTGCCTAAGAAATCGCTTTTACGTACTAATCAAAAAATTCCTTGCAAGATTTTGCTATAAAATTGTCTATTAATTCTGACATTAAGCTTAGCTTTTTAAGGGTAAAATGACATGTAATTTGGTGCTAATAATTCCGGCAAATAGGAACATGGGGAAAATTAGTAAATCCGTATGTGGGTAGAATTGTAGAATTACTAAAATTATTCATGATCTTCTACACATGTAAAATTATACGAAACGCTTTAAGAAATTTGTTTACGCTATACACGATGATCTGCAATATGCAGAAATTACAAATTTTCCCCACCACTTCTGTTTGGTTCTACTAATTATTCACATATGGTTGGTTTCCAGGTTTTCACTCTCACGCACTCATATCGGAGTATCTTTATTATTAATCAATTTATAGTACTCTGATAGTGAAGTGGTGGGGAGATTTAGGGTTCTCCAATAAGCATAACCGAACACAGATTTTGATTAAACTCGATAATGCCAAAAAAAGCAAAGATCGGCAAAATTTTACATTCAATTATTACATCCAATTAGAATCAAGGTTGTGTGCTCGAAGCGAAACTCGAATTGAACAAATCTAACTACATAGTAGTGCTCATAATAGGTTTGATCTAAATGAAGCTGAATTATCATTATAATCCATATACTAAATTGACTACAGCAAGATTTGTTTCAGATTAAATCCACTACGTTCCTGGTATGGTGAATTTTCCTAAAAACAGCCAAAAAGATTTATCTTCGGAAGGTTTTTGGCAATCATCAATTAAATTATATCAACTGTAGTTTAGGTATAGTCTTAAAAACTTTGAGATGATTGGTATGATTAGTCTAATAAAATCATAAGTTTTTATCGGTCTAAAATTCTTCCTGAAAATTATCCACTTTGGCATTCGTTAACAAAGATTTTTGCAAAAAAATTATAAATACAGCTTGAGCTCGATAAAGGTGATAAAGGTGTTAAATTATTGTTAAATTATCATTTCACTAACAGCTAATAATAATTCATTCTAATAATCACAATGAAATTAAATTACATCATTTTAATTCTTATTATTGTTATTTTAAATGTTTACTTGACAACTGCCTCGCCTCTCGAAGAGAAAAGGTAATTAATTTGATTCATTGTTTTATAATAGTTCATTATTAAACATATAACAAAATTTTTAAATTAATTACATTTCATTTATATAACGCATTTTATATTGAATTATTAGAGAGTATGTACTTCATTGTTTTTGTTATATACTAGAATATCATTTTATGATACTTAAAATTCTCTTTGCAACCTTGATTCACATTTTTGACGTTGTCTTTATTGAATTATTAGATGGTAAGCATAGTTTACTATAATTGTTTCCGAATTATTATTGAATTAATAGCATGTAAGTATAAGCTTTATGTTTAAGCTTATAATTGATAATTCATTAAAATATGCACCTAACGAATATTTTGACAAATGCTTCTACAGCTATTAGTGGATAAGTATAAGCATTATGATATTTGGTTTTAAATTTATTTGACTATGCTATTTATAACATTATAATGTATATTTCTTTTATTAAATTATTAGCGAGTAATTCTTAAATCAGTAAATGATATAACTTTATAATACTTTTTTTAAATCGAAATATTAGCTTTACTATATTTATTCTAATTATTATTTATTTTTAAGCTATTTACCGTAGAGCATTGCATTCAGTACCCAAGATATATGTCAAAACCACGGCACTAAACTTGATTTGTACTCGGGGGTACTGAATACAGCATTCTACGTTATTTAGAATTATTCTTTTAGTATAGGTTTATTATATTTATTTGTAAACTTTTCATTCGTCTTAAATTATTCCACTTACAACTTTATATATTTATTTTATTAAATTATAACAGGTATACTATATTTGTTTCAAAAATTATTGAATAGTTTTAAAATATGCATTTAACAAATGCTTCTGTCAATTTATTAGCCTGTAAGTATAAACTATACTATATTTGATTAAAATTCTTTGGCAAATATTTTAACAAATGCCTCTGTCAAATTTTTAGACAGTAAGTATAGGCTTTATTAAGTTTTTTAAAAGTTATCTATAAATTTACAACCATATTTTCTTTTATTGAATGATCAGCATGTAAATATAAACTTTATTGTATTTGCATTTAAAATTTTATTCGATTTTATTATTAATTTCTAATGCACATCTTCTTTTATTGAATTATTAGCGAGTAAGTATATTTGTTTTTAAATTTTCGTTGATGATTTTAAATGATCGATTTATAACTTTATAATATTTATCTCCAATTGGATTATTAGCCCGTAACTATAAGCTTCATTAGATTTGTTTTGGATAATTTTTATTAATAATTTATAAAATATATTTACTCCTGTCAAATTTTTAGATGGTATGCATAGGCTTTATTATATGGTTTTAAAATTTTTATTTGATTTTAAATTATGTTACATTCTATTATAATTTTATAATGCGTATCTTTTTATTAAATTATTAGCACGTAAGTATAAATTTTTATTATATTTGTTTCTAAACATTTATTTATGATTTTAAATAATGTTTATCTATAATTTTATAATATACTTATTTGTTTTAATTATTAGCAAGTAAGTATATGCTTCATTATATTTGTTTTTCAAATTATTATTGATAATT